TTTAAAAAATATAAAACATAAATATAAAATTTAAAAAAAAAACAAAAAAAAAACACAAACTCAAACTTTTTAGTTTCTGTGTAATAACACCCTGTGTATTAAGTGCTTGTGTAATAAGTATATTAATAATAATTCTTGACCAGAAGGTAACCCACTGTGAAGGGTGGTAGCCCTCCCAACATCAAATAATGGATTGCCAATTTTTGGCTGTAGAAAACTGGCCTGCCTTTGGACAAAGAAAACATTCAGCAGCTTCAAAAATTATAAGAAAAAGTACTTAATGCAAAAATATTAAGTCAGTTAAAAAATGACAATGCCCAAATAAGCTCATTAGTCAAACATCGAGCACAAATTATCGGATTCAAGTTAAAAAGTCAGGACAACTAACTAAAAAACCAAGCGATCAACTTATAGTAGCTAATTTTACCATAAATGAGTTAAATGAACGTAAAAATATCATTATTATGGGGTGTCAGAATCCAATAAAGTCTCTTTATATGATAAAATAGCTGAAAACAAGGCAAAAGTTTTGGAAATATTTACAAAATTTGTAGTTCAAGAGATAAGATTTGAGAATGTGAGACGATTAAGAAGTAAAATTTCTGACGAACTAGGCTTATTGCTAGTTAACTTGGCTTATTGCCAAGTTAACTAGCAATGAGCAACTAGCGATCTTCGAAAAATACTAATTTTATCAAAAAAATTGAAATTGCTTCTAAGTTTTAATAATATATAAACGGCAACAGGATTTTATACTCAGAACAGAGTGAAATAAACTGAATAATGCCCTTAAGGAGACGGATCCTTTTTGGTATGATATCCGTGGAAATCAGACACAAAAATTAAAAAAATAAAAAAACAATTGAAGTTAGACAAATAAAGCTAAATGTCTGTTATCTATAAACAGCATAGAAAAATTAAATTGCATGTTCCTTAATGCCACATCTCTTGACAACAAATTTGACGAATTTAAACTAATTGTTGCAACTTACAATGCTAAAATAATTACCATTACGGAAACATGATTTAAACCAATCTATGCAAATTAAATGGTTACTGTTTATAAAGAAAACTGATGCAATGGTCGTCGAGGTGGAGGTGTATGTATTTATGTTGAAAGCAAAATTACTTCATACGAACTTAATGATATCAGATTTCCATCAAGTCAAATTGAGCATATCTGGGCTGTTATCAGTTCGGCAATAATATATATCTTATTAGATGTATTTATAGACCTTTACAGATATGATTGATATTGAAAATGTATTTAAATTGCTAAAGAATATGTCAACCAAAAAGGTTATAACGATTTAATCATATTTAGTGATTTTAACTTTCCTGAAATTATTTGGTGCAATGGTTCAATAAATTCAATTAAAGAATCGTCAGAAATTGAGCATGTTTTTTATAAAATAATAAATGACCATTACTTATATTAGCATGTTAACATACCAACATTTCAACCAACAAATAAATCTGCTGTAAATGTTTTAGATTTAATATTCACTACTCAGTAAGCAAATATAAGTGCCATTGATAGTAAATTTGTTTTAGGAAATATATCAAGCGGTCATTTGATATTGTGCTTTGGTTTTATTCTTAAAATAAAACAATGAAAAAAAATACTTAGAAAAAAAAAAATTTATATAGAAAAGCAGACTACAATAGCATTAATGATTTCCTTACAAGTGTCGATTGGCTTTAGTGTTTTGATACCAAGAATATTCAATAAATGTATGATGAGTTAATTTATTATACTAAAGAAGCGTGTAACTTATATGTTCCTATAAATACCTCAAGTTCATCATCAAAGAAACTATATCTGAATAAAGAACTTATCTCCCTCATTAGGTAAAAAAAGAATTTAAAATACAAAAATTGTTTTAGTAAATGGAAAAATTCAAATCTTTGTAACCAATATAAACAATTATCAAAAAGAGTGTCATTTGAAATTTTCATTGCAAGAAGAAAATACGAATCAATGATTGTGGAAAAAGCTAAAAAGAACCCAAAAGTATTATATAAATATATAAGTTCACAACAATTATGTAAAAGACTATAAAAATATAGACTATATAAATCTATGCGACAACCAAACGGTAAAATAACCCAGGTTCCAGAAAAGGTTGCTGATCTTCTGAATATAAATTTTTACAACGCTTTTGTCAAAGAAAATGCACTACATTATTCAGAACAAGAATCAATGATATTACCTTTAGTTTAACTCCTGAATATATTCAATATGAAGACGTTCTTGAAAGGCTAAAAAACCTTGATAAAAATAAAGCCTACGGAGTAGACAAGTTACATTCATTTATCTTAAAAAACTGTGCTACTGCTTTCGCTCTTCCTCTAACACTAATTTTTATGGAGTCAATGGAAAAAATTCAACTTCTAAATCAATTTAAATCAGCAAATATAACTGCAATATATAAAAAAGGTGACAAAAATGATTCTGAAAATTATAGACCTATATCACTTCCATGTATTACTTTTCAAATACTACAAAGAATAATTAAAGATAAGTTTGAAAAATATCTTCATTGAAATAATATTATAGCTAATCAACGGCATGGATTCGTTAAAAATAAATCATGTACTACAAGTTTATTTGAAACTCTAGATTGTATTACAAGAAATGAGGATCAAGGAATTCCTGTGGATGTAGTTTTACTTGACATTAAAAAAAAATTTGATACTGTACCACATCAAAGGATTATCTTAAAACTTGAAGCGTATAGTGTTAGTGGCTTAGCACTTCATTGGTTTCAAGCTTTCTTATCTAATAGAAGGCAGAGAGTTATTATGGGAGATTATGTCTGAACTTAAGCTGATGTGTATAGTGGAGTTCTTCAAGGATCTGTATTAAGTCCACTACTTTTTATACTTTATATAAATGATCTCCCTGAGTCTCTAAAAAATATTTAAAAATTATATGCTGACACACAAAAATCATATCGATTAGTCCTTCTGATGAGTTACATCATAAACTACAATGTAGTTTGAACTTTGCGTATGCTTTGATACAAGATTGGTTACTTAATTTTAATATTGATAAACGTTTAGTTATGCACTATAACTATAAATAAGAGATATCCAATTTATATAAATGGTTGTAAACTCAACATATCAAATTCAGAAAAGGTTGAAAAATCAACCATTATTGAGTGCTAGCAAAGCAAACCGCATGTTAGGTAAAAAAAAATCTTTTGTTTAATTAAATACAAAACTGATAAAATCTCTATATCTTTCCTTGCTGGACCACTCCTAGAGTTTGCTGTACCAGTTTGGGCTCCTTATCAAAAACGAGATATTGCGCTTTTGGAAAGAATACAGCGTCGTGACACCAAATTGGTACCTTCGATCAATAAATTAAGCTATGAAGGTCGACTAGCTTGTCAATAAATGCCCTAACTAGCTAAATAAAGACAACTTAGTGACATAGTTCAATTGTTTAAAATTTTTAAAGGTTACGATAAAGTTCAATTTAAGAAAATAAGCCCTTAAAATGTAATTGTACTCGTGGCCATAACCTAAAGTATTCTAAAGAATTTTATGTACATAGAGAAAATATTTTACTAAATCGAGCTGCAAATCATTGGAATACACTGCTAGAAAATGTTGTTAAAGCTAATTCAGTCAACTCATTTAAAGGAAGACTTGATTGATGGGAGTGAAACCATCACAAGACTCAGATGTCATAGTGTCCTTTAAAACCACAGTCGCTGGTAGCAATACCAGTCACTGCATAAACTAATACTAATACTAATACTAAATTTAATATAGCACAAACACTATTATTTTTCTGGTATTTTTTTTAAGTTGTCCTTTTTAGAATCATCAATGACTGCTAGACTTGAAAGTAGCAGTAGTGAACTCTACTTTTACTGCAAATACTGTTACAATATCATGCTAAAAGTGTTACAATAGTGGCAAATATCACGCCATTCAAAAATACTGTGTACTCTAAATTGGAAATTTACATGAAAATTACTTTGAATCATTTACTTTACATTTTAAAAAAACCCAATGCCGATGATTTTATTAAAATTGCATTTATAACTTATTTTCAATAATTTGTCTTTACTAGTGATACTAGTACATAATATGGCATTTTAGCACCAAAGCTTAAAAGATTAATATTAACAAAACAACTCTTTAATTATCTAAACTAGCTAATATGAATTGTAAACTACTTACCAAGAATTATAAAACATTATTTTACAGTACAAATAGCAGAGTTAAAGTATAATTAACGTTTTTGATTTTGCTAATGAAAACAACGTTTTAAAAATTGCATACAAAGGTTGTGCTTAGGATGTCATGACTAATGGCGTCAGTCAAAGTGAAATTTTTTTTATTTTCCCGCGTCATTTGCCCAGCCGGCATAACTCAAAAAAAAGTTACGCTTGGTTTCTGTTGCGTTTTTAAAGCCTTCTAAAATATAACGAACAACACTTGTCAAAAATGGTTTTTATTCCATGAAATTAACTATTACTATTTACCATAAATACCAGTTAAAATATTAATGGTTTCACTGTTACGGAAACGTATGATTTTATTATAATAACTTTCCGTAAGGAATGTGAAAACACTAATAAAAGCATGCAATATTAAAAATTAACTTTAAAACCTTAGAAAACCATAATAAACTCGAGTAAAACTGCCCGTAATATACACGTGTTTTGGTTAACACCTGGATCGTGACAAACACGAGTCTATAGAGGCTTTAATTCCGAAAAATAAACTAAATGAGCCGGTAGGGTGTTATTTAGAAAATTAAAAACAAAAGTGCAATAGTAGGTTAAAAACAATTTTTGTGTATGCCAAGTAAATTAAAAACTATTTATGCGTATGCCAAGTAATTTGAGTTAGTATCATATTTAAATCAAACATATTTTAAGAGATACAAAAATATTACTTTATAATGTTATAAAACAATGTTATTTGGTCATTTTATAATTTATTTTACTTAGTTTATAATAAAAACAATACCCTACATATAGACGGATCTTCGTCTGAAAGATCAGAACAGTCATCGTCATGATCACATTTCCAGTTTAGTGGAATGCATTCACCATTAAAGCATTGAAATTCATTTAAGCACACTGAAAAAATTAAAATTAAAAGCTTCTAATTGTTCATTTGTTTAATGTTTTTACAAATATATTCAGATACGTAAATAGATATCTTAAAAAGTCATTCTCTTGTAAAACGATATGTTAATAACATACAAGTTGACTTCAGAAAAATAGAAAGCGCTCAACTATTTTTTAAATTTAATTTGAAATAGTAGTATATTAACAATATTTTGCTGACCTAATCATGACAGCGTCATCAGGTTATAAAATAAAGTATCAAAACAACTTTAAAAGTACCATCTATTAGGTTTTTATACAATAAAGTTAAAACATCTGATTTTAGTATAAAATCTTATCCCTATAAAACTCTTATTAATTTAATGCAATTTATCTAGGGTATACATATACCATTGTTATTCAAGTAATATCAAAAAATCGTTAAAAAACGAACAAATAAAAATATTTTAATGTAATGTGTTAATGAGTCTCAAAATAAGAATAATAAGATTTTGAAAATGGCAATATTACGTAATCCCAATCATTTTTATTCAAACTGCATTTAGAGAACACTGGTCTTATTTATTTTTTCTAAGGCTCATTCACTTTCAACTCAAAGTGCTGCGACTCTTTCTCGCCCTTACGTTGCTTCCTATAACAGCCGAGGGTACGTTTCAAATAGGCTCGAAAGCATACTACTCCTACTACTGCTACTACTACTCCTACTACTCCTACTACTACTACTACTACTACTACTACTACTACTACTACTACTACTACTACTACTACTACTACTACTACTACTACTACTACTACTACTACTACTACTACTACTACTACTACTACTACTACTACTACTACTACTACTACTACTACTACTACTACTACTACTACTACTACTACTACTCTTACTACTACTACTACTACTACTACTACTACTACTACTACTACTACTACTACTACTACTACTACTACTACTACTACTACTACTACTACTAACACTAATACTAACACAAAAAGTATTAAGTTCAGCAATAACGTATAATAGATAGATAATTATATAATAATAAATTATAAAACGAAAAGCTTAAGTAAACAAATAACAAGGTAAGTTTACAAATTAAAATCAGATTTTTTAACTTATTTTTATGTTAGAAAATAACATAAAACAAACCGTAAAAACAAAAGAAGACTTTTAAAAGCGTAAAATATGAAAACCAGAATATTTATAGATAGTGACATCGATGATGTTTTTATCAAAATAGTTCACAAGTTTTTGTTTTACCATTATCCTCTTTAACTAGTATTATATAGTCACATTTTGGAACTATATAACAAGATAAATTGGAGAATAATATTACCATTTAAAAAGGTTTAGTAGTTAAATAAAATGTCAAAGTAAACTGTTGCTGTTTTTAATGTTTGTGTTGTTAGTGGCGACTACATTATTTGACCTAAAACAAATGAACACAGGAGTCTTTTAATAGCATTGGTAAAATAAAAAAAAACTAATGCCTAAACTTAAAAGTAAAATTTGCAAGTTATTTCAATACTCATATTTAGCTTTAGTAGTTTCATTTTGTGTAATACACTTTTTTCTAAACTATAGCCATTTTTCATATAATCTTCCTAAGTTTTTTTTTAATTGCAAAGGATAACAAATTAATAAATTTAAGCTAATAAAGTGTAGCTTTATAGATTATTTAACTAGTTTTTTTGCAAAAACTATTTCTTGTCGAGGCTTGTTTTTTTGTTTAGTGTCGTAGAGTTTTGGTTAATTGAAAGCAAAAGTGTATCCTGTAAATTAAAATATATTTCTAAATTGAATACTCACATTGAATACTCACATTTGATAACTATAGCAGAGAAAATATTAAAAAAGCTTATAATTTGATGTAATTGTTGTTGTTTATTGAATATTTTGAATAAAAAAATAAACAATAAACTAAAAACAAAAGACGAAAATAAAAAAACATTAGTTATAATTAATAAAAAATAACATTATCATATACTAAAATCAGATGTTTTAAATTAACTTTATTTTATTTTAAAAGAAACAGCTTAAAAAAAAATAAAATAAAAAGCGTTTACTATAAAAACCAAGAAAATTATTTAATGTTGACGTCAGTTAAATATATGTGAAAATTGTTAATAAGATATTGTTTTATCATTATTTTTGTCAACTAGTAATATGTAGTCATATTTTGACAGCAAATAACGAAATTAATTGATGAAAAATACTACCATTTATAGTTGTATATTAGATAAATAAAAGAAGTTACCAGAATCTGTTGTTGTTCTTGTTGGTGTTGTTATTTGCGTTGTTTGACCTTAAAAAAAAAAAATTATAAAATTCTTTCACTAACAATATAAAAACAAAAGTACTTACTTCCTAAAATCAAAAGTAAGTTTTAAAAATAATTTTATTTTTCACAATTTGGTGAAACTAGATAGATTTTGTTTATTACACTTTTTGTAAACTAATCCTATTTAAATGTTATACTCAAAGTTTTTATTCCATTAGCAATGGTAACAAGTTGAATAATATAACAAAATAAGGCTTAAGTAATGAATGTTTTAGAACTTTATTTAATGGCTACATTTATTTCATTTTTTCGCCTAATGTTTAATAGTTAAACAAAATATTAACAAAAACATAAAAAAAAAGTACTACGAATACATTGTTCTTTGTCTAAATGATCAGAGCAAAAATACATAAATGTATATATATATATATCTATATATATATATATATATCTATATGTATATATATATATATATATATATATATATATATATATATATATATATATATATATATATATATATATATATATATATATATATATATATATATATACATATATATATATATATATATATATATATATATATATATATATATATATATATATATATATATATATATATATATATATATATATATATTTATTTGCATTCACTCCCAACAAACCTGCAAGCAACCACTATTAAGTTGAGAGTAACTAGGAAAAAAAAAAGAACATAGTTATAGAGCAAGGAAACGTTTAACAGAAGACTTGAAAAGTTGAAGGTTGTATGAGTCAGGAAAACATGAAGATGGGAGAAAGTTCCAAAGGATTGAAGTGCGGGGAAAAAAACTAGATGAATAAAAGTTTTTAGAGCATGCAGGGACAGATACAGTAAACGAATGAGACTTAGCTGAATGAAAAGTAAAACGAGAATGAATTTTAGTTGATGGAACTAGAGATGATAACTCCTTTGAGCAGTGACCATGATAGTATCTGTAGAAAAGAGAAAGAGATGCAACTTTACGACGATGGGAAAGAGGTTCAAGCTTAGCAGATAGTCCAGGTCCAACAACATTTACAATGCGTTTTTGGACCTTGTCAAGAAGAGAAAGTGAATCGTTAAAAGAACCAGCCCAAATATGACAACAGTATTCCATACAGGGACGAAAAAGAGATTTATAGAGGTAGAGAATGGAATCAGAAGTTAAGAAATGGCGAGCACGATAAAGAGAAGCAACCTTAGCAGAAGCTAATTTAGCAATCGATTGTATATATGGTTTCCATAAAAGGTCAGTAGTAAGCGATAATCCAAGAAGACATAAAGAGGAGGACTCAGTAAGAGGATTGCCATTCATTAATATAAGAATGTTGACCATTTTACGGTAGGTGTTTGCAGTAAGCAATTGGATTTTTTTAGAGTTGAAATTTACAATTTACAAATTTACAATTAACAATTACAATTTATATATATATATATATATATATATATATATATATATATATATATATATATATATATATATATATATATATATATATATATATATATATATATATATATATATATATATATATATATATATATATATATATATATATATATATATATATATATATATATATATGTATATATGTATATACTTAAATATGTTTTGAGATAATAGTATATAATCAATAATTCGCTAACGAATTGAGGTCAGCGTCATAAGGTATTACTAACATCCCAGTTAACCAACCCAGTTGGGCCCGAGCTGGGATTGACTGGGGTGCCAGATGGGTCCTATAGAGTGTAAAAATTTTGCCGCAAATAAAGTCTGGGTTTTTACTGGGATTGGTATGGGGCTTCCGTGGCTGATTTGAAGATGGAATCCGTACTTTAATGGTAGCATGTATTTTTAATTAAAGCACTTGTTTTGGCTTCGTTTTTATTAAGAAGTTTTGTTGAAATAAAATTTCAAAATGTAATTTCAAAATAGTGTATTTAATTTTAATATTTTTTTCTAACAAATCTTATAAACTTTTTGAAAAACCTTTGAATTCGCAATGTTTTGTAAAATGACTTTGACAAATTTTATTTACAAAACATAGCAAAGTTTTACTATGTAGCACTGCCGTTTGTAAACTTTACATATTGTTTATTTTTACATAAATCATTTAATAAATGGTTTATGTTTTTATAAATAATATTTTAGTTTTACATAATTTTTAAAGAAATTAAAATCATGCATTTATCAAATGTGAGATTTTACATATTTTATAAGTAATATAGTTAATATATTTTTCATAGCATAAGTAATATATTATCAAATATATAACTTATAGAAAATGTTAAATCTTATATTTGTATTATGCATTTATAAATGATATCTAAAGTTTATATATAGCAGTGTCACTTAATAAAACCTTACTAATAGTCATAGTATCACTTTACAAAACAGAGTAATACTATGTTTTATAAAGTGATAAAATTTGTAGTAAAGTGATAATATTATAATATTTGTATATATTTGAGTTATATTATAAATATTATAACTTTATTTTTAATTGGTAGTATAAGGTTTTTTATGATAAAATATTTAAATAATTTATATTGTGAATTACTTGTAAATAATAGTAATTAGTAATAAATACGATAAACTGCCCAGTTAACCACAACAAATGGGTCCCAGCTGGAATATAACTAGATTATTGGAACTGTGTTATGGCTGGGATTTGAACTGGGTAAAAGATGGTTCCCATATGGTGCAATGATTGCGGCAAAAATTATGCTTGAAAATATGATAAAATCTTTTAAAACGACATATGGAGTAACGCAGATTGGTTTGGATTGATTTTAAACTTGCATTTAAAGTGAACAGAAACTTAATTTGGTTCTTTTTTAGTATTTTTGTAAAAAATAATTATTTACATATCAGTTTCAATTTATAATAAAAGTGTAAATATTTTTATATCAATATTTAGATATTCATTTAATTAACGATTTAAAATAAATAAATACAAAAAAAACATGGCATACTCTTATTATATATCTTAAATGCTAATTGACATACTTCTTAAATTCTCTAAATTTTATAACCATTAATAAAGTTTAAGAGTATTTCAATATTTACTTCTTTATAGAATTTTAAAATGTTTTCTCAAACTAAAAACATATTCATATTTTTTTATGCAATAGAAAAATGTTGAAAAGTTTTAAAAATAGTTTCTATGGTTTTTGTGTGCTAACAGTTATGGCATAGTCACTAAGTTACAAAAATGAAATACACTAAGTTAGTGTGTTTCGTTTTAAATTATCTTTTTCAAGCAAATCTTAATGACACTTTACAAAACATGGTAAGATTTAACTAAATAATACTGCCTTATTTGAATTTTACATATTATTTATAAATACATAAATGTTTTACAACATCTATAATTTATATAATTAATAATATAATACTTATATTATAATTACTGTAACTTATATTATAAGTTATAATATAAGGTTTTGTATGAAAAATGTTTAAGTTGTTTATATTATGAATTATTTGTACATAATAGTAAGTAATAACAAAAATTATTAGATGTTTTAACGTATAGCTTTATTTATCTGAAGTAATAAGAAAATTATCACATTTTTTTGAATATGTTTATTTATTAAATACATTTTTTAATTCTTTTAAATATAAATATTTATATATATTTTGAGAGCAATATTCAAACATTTGTTTAAGAAACAATTTTGCTAGTCTAAAAGAGGAAAATGTTGAGTTTTAAGGTTTTAAGTTGTTTTCTAATTATCACAGGATGTTATATAATATTTTTAGAACATGTTTTGAAATAAATTAAATATACAATCATTAAATGCTACTCAAGTGCAATATAAAAATGAAAATGTAGTTTTGATACTAAATAAGGCAAAAACTGAATCTTTTAATAATGATGAGTGATTTGTATTTTTCACTTGCTATAGTAAGTTAATTTCATTGTGTTATTATACGATATCATATAGTCATATATAATATGTTAATTTACAAAGTTATAAAAAAGATATCAAATTTTTTAGGCAATAAATTTTTTATCTGTTGTTTTTGCATACAACTTTATTAAATTTTAAATTTTGATAATACTTTATTAAATTTATTAAAGAGGTTCAATAGTATCTATTTTTTGTTATTAAAGTTGGTTTGTGTTGATTTATGATTAACAAAAGAAAATGCATTACTTCAACAAATGTTAGTTTTTTACATATTAGTTATATAATCTCCTATAAAATGGTTCATCTAAATCTAATAAGTTAACACTTAATCTGACAACATTATTTTGAATATTTTTGTTTCAGAAAGTTCAGAAAAGTTTTACTTTCCCCGACTTTTAAAATCTCTAACTATTTGTTTACAGAGTTTGATAAAATAAATAAATAGGGTTGCCACTCAACCTGGAAAACCTGGAATATCTGGAAATAGTATAATTACTAGGAAAAACCTTGAATACTCAGGGTTTTTTAAAATTTTCATATAAGTCAGGGAAAACTCAGGGAAAATAAGTTTTTTTTTTAAATTTTGTACAATAATTTTTTTTTGTAGCTCTAAGACTACATGAAATTAAACAATAAATTCTAGTCCACGATAACTGAAATACGTTATGTTAGACTAACCATGAATGTAACTATTATATATAATTATATAAATACTCTACACTTGTTTATAATTGTAAAATTTTATTGTGAAAATAATTTTATTACAAAATGGTCAAAACAACAATTGTTTTTAATTTTTTTTAATAAGTTTAAATTGTAACAAACAATTATTTTCAAGTAATAATATAGTCTAAAATGATTATTGTTAAATAAGGTACAATCAAAATGTTAGTGATATTCATTATTTTTGCATTTATTAAATTATATAAAAGATATTAAACCCTCACAAACTGATGTAAGGGTTAGATGTCATGTTAACTCAAGTCAAGACTTTAAATTTTAAATTTTAACATAGTATTCATGTTATATTGCTGTTGTTTACAAGTCTATATATGTCATGCCTAGTTTTTATCATCAATTA